CTTGGCAAGGGCACACCCCCTTCTCAGGGCAGCCCAATGATAACTCATTACAGAGGGGTAAATGCCCAGCCCCTCATCTCAACTAAGGAAGACTGAAGATGCCTGGCTGGCATGGCTCCGTGGTTGCCTCAGGAGGTCACGGTTCGATTCCCGGTTGGGACAGGACACATGCCTAAGGTGTAGATTCGATCCCCAGCGTGGGGCATACAGGAGGCAGCCAATCAAATGATTCTCTCTCATCATTGATGTTTCTCTCTCTCTTTCCCCCTCCCTTCCTCTCTGAAACAAAAACAAAGACTGAAGGCCATCCTAGCTTCAGAGTGCCCCATGGAGTCGGATGAAACCTTTGATCAGATCCCATCACAGTCCAACTTCTCCCTCTACCCAATCCTGCTCCCTTCCCTTCCGTTAATTAGTATTGATCCCAAGAACACTCCTAATAATCTTTATTAACTCTAAATAATTGAAGTGTATAAGTAAGTATAACCATAGATACCACCGGATATTGTCATCAAATAAAATTGTATACAGGAGGCATCTCTAAATTGGTTATTAATTTCCTCAAAAATGGTTTACTATAGCACTATTGGTAAGCCTGCACAGAACAACTACAAAGAAATACTTATGCACACACACAAAATCATAGGTTACCAGCCACAGGAGGGACGGTGCCATAAAAACGCACTGTTGCACATTCTCCGTTAACTGAAACTCTGCGGCCGACGACATCTGATGTCAACGTGTCATTCATTATAATGCAAAATATGAGACCTAGGAAGAAAAGTACCAACTTGAGGAGAACTTAATAAAATTCTTTTAAACTTCATGTGGATGGATATTCGTGAGGTCCAGGCTGCTGGACAATTTAGTCTTCATATTTTGGTGAGAACCGAATCGTTTTATGTACCTTACTCTGATCATTATATTTTATTTCACCGTCTAACTATATTTGGATTATCTAATGTATTTTTTTTAAAATCCTGTTTTTATTAGCTCACATCAGATGACTTGTCTATTCTGTCATTTCCTGAAGGGGGTGGGAAGGGTAGAGAAGGGGACAAAGTGATGGAGAAAAGGGAAAGGAGCCCTGACCGGGTGGCTCAGTTGGCTGGGTGTTGTCCCATCCACTGAAGGATCCTGGGTTCGATTCCTGGTCAGGGCACATACCCAGGTTTCGGGTTTGATTTCCAGTCGGGGCGCATATGTGAGGCAGCAAATGGGTGTGTGTTTCTCTCTCTCTCTCCTCTCTCCCCCTTCCTCCTCTTTAGAATCAATGAAAACAAACAAACACCATATCTGCTGGTGAGGATATTTTTTTTAAAAAGGACAGGAAACGGGAGACATGAAGAGTGTCCTCCCCTCGGGTAGAAAAACACATCCACAGGCATGGGGAACAACACATGTTAAAATTAAACTAATAAAAACACAGAGACTTAAAAATAAAGAGAAGGCCTAAAAAGGAGCCCAAGAGAGCCAGGCTGGCACGGCTCGGTAGCTGAGCATGGACCCCTGGACCGGGAAGGAGGTCCCGGTTCGATTCCCGGGCTGCGGGCTCCATCCCCAGCAGGGGGCGTGCAGGAGGCAGCCGATCCCTGATTCTCATTGTTGATGTTTCTCTCCCTTCCTCTCTGAAAGAAAAAATAATTAGAAAATATATATAGAAAGGAATAAAAGGGGAGGCTTAGGTTTGGGAGGTAAGGGCGTGAGTTAAGAGGTGTCTACAGATGCCATAAAGGACGCGGATCCCTACGTCAAAAAGCATGTTTTTACTCGACCTGGGTACCTGGGGGTCATCGGCACAACTTATAGCTGATTCCGTGAACGCAGATGAGATCAGAAGTGTATTAATTAGGTGGAAAAGAGGCCTATCGAAGCTGCTCTCTCATCGCTGATGTCCCTGTCTCTCCCGCTCCCAAATCAATTAAAAAAAAGACAGGGATTGTGTACTAGGATTTTTTTAAAGAATCCCCAGCGATAAACTGTTTTATAAAAAGGTTAAAACGAAAAAGAGGAAACCACTAGAGGCGATTATCCAACACCCCCTGCCTGGCTGCGAGCGTAATGTCAGACAGAAGGGAAGCGCGCCCGTCGGTCTCCCAGTCTGTCTGGCTGTGCAGGAACCCCACCCCTCGGGGAACCCTGGCCGCGGTGTCTTTGGGAACCGGGACGTCACACCCTCACCTGGGTCCACCCCCAATTTAGGACAGCCCCCTTCCCCCCCAGTTGGTAGTAAACGCTCCGCAAACATTTTAACTGTTCTCCGCCCGCTTCACATGACTTCTCCATCACCAATACTACAAGACTTGGAAGGACGAGGCTGTTTCTCTAACGGGACACCGAGTCCCCGGGACCAAGTTCACGTCTTCCCAAGTGACAGGACAACCGGCTTCGGCCGGACGTGTTCCCGGGATTATCATTTTGAATTTTAAATGTTTTTGCAAATTTGACATATTCTTAGAAGTATTTACTAGAATCTTCAGGATATGAACTCTTTTAGTCAAAACGCCACCCAAATTAAGCCTCAATTGTAAACATTCGCAGTATTCTCCTCAATTCAAAGTTGTATACACAAATTCTGAGCTCTACAAACAGGATTTCTTAAAGTGTGAAAGCAACTTTTTGTGCATTTGCCACCAAAAGTACTGGAAT